CCCCAAAACCCCAAAACCCCAAAACCCCAAAACCCCAAAACCCCACCTGGGCTAGGACGAATTGAATAAATAATAATCAAAACCTAAGAATGAAGGCAGATATGGAGCCTAATAGAAGAAAAGTGACTGATATAGAAGACTTTGAAGATATGAACGACACTTACAACCTTCCTGATAAACTTATAGTCTCTAAATAAGGAGGCTGAGCAAGCTTCAATAGACCTACTTGAACAAAAGAGCTTTAATTATGGAGATGGAAAGGAGTTTAATACTTTTGATCCTTTTGAAGACTGATCAAACAACAAAAAGAAATTGGGTAAGAGCGATAGAGATAGCCGCAATGTGAACCAGGAATACCCCTGGGCACCACCTTATGAACCCAAGACGGAAATGTACTGCAGAAGATGTTGAAAATGGATAAATCTAATCTGATACCTAAAACACATGGTCGCTCATATTCATGAAAAATAACTTCTTTGTCAAGCGTCTTGAGTCAGATCTCAGTCAAACCTTATGGGATGAAGTGGGAGAATTCATTAACCGCCAAAAATTCAAGGATAAGATCAGGCCTTATAAAGATCAGATCTTATCTCCGAGTGAGACAAAGGATTTTGAGCTTATATTCCTTGTCTCACAGGCTATGAAATTCAGGAAGAAGACATTTGAGCAATATTTACATCTCTTGCCTATATATCTGAAAGGGTTTAAAGATAAAAGTTCAGGTGAAACTTTCTTGCTAGATGAAATCCCTCCAATCAAGTATACAAGAGACAGCGAGTATAATAAAACCTGAGGCGAATGAGAAGAAGTTTTCAAGGATGGTGACCAAGTAATTAACCTAATCTTACTCAATTTAGATCATAGAGCTTCCTTGCTTTCATGCAATATGAGACAACTGCTTCTTAACAAGTTTAGTCAATGGGTCACTTCCAGAATGAAACCTATGCGAAGGAGCGAAATGGTCCAGAACAATGTTTCAGATTTCAATATATTTCGGGCTCCATGGGGTTTTGGGGTTTTGGGGTTTTGGGGTTTTGGGG